TCACATTGTAGGGCAAAACTGTTGGATTCTGGTCTCACCCTTCCAAGCTCAGTCACTTGTGGTCTCAGCTACAACATCCTGCCCTCAGGTAATAGACAAGAACTTACCCTCAGGCACAGAGCAGCTCCTCATAAAAATCTCAAGAGTTTTCTTAAAAATCCTTCAAAAACCTCATCTCTCAAATGTATGTCTCAAAAATCTTGTCAACTGATGCCTTGGGGTCATGGGTATTATCTATCTTGCCGATCAGCACTGTTTTCCCATGTCTTACACTGTGTCACCTGGCTCTTGGAATGCCTTTGTTGTTTCTATCAGAACTAGTTCAACTCAGTTCCAATCTTGTGGCTAAGTTAATACCTGGAACAGGATGTGTATTTAACTGCTAACTTGCTGCTGCAGTGATTCAAGCTTCAATGACTCTTCCATCTTAAATTTGAATGGAACTGTTGCCCAGCTCTCATGTAATTAAGTGTTCTCATTATTTACACTCCACAAGCATGGGAGAGTTCTGTCTATAGCTGCAAAGGCTTGGCTTTCATAGATGCTTGATATAGGTAATGTTAGCCAAAAAAATAATTAAGTTCCTTGAGATTTCTAAGTGCAGGGGTCGTTCTGCTTTGACTAAACTCAGGTGGGTGGAAATCTTCAAAACCAATAGAGTAGCCCAACCTCTTCCTAATGATCTCCATGGAGGTCTCATCAGTGACACAACATGATGCCAAGGCTGAGCCCTTTCCAGAAACAAAAACTTCTTAGGACTTGCATGTGCTAGCAGAATTAGCATTTGCATTTTTATTTCTTTCAAGTCTTTTGCTGGGAGCAGTTTATTAGTGCTGTGGATTCATGTTTTGTCAGTACCTGGCATTCAAGTATAGCTGATCCTGCCTTGAATTTCAAGCTGGATTATTTCTCAATATTGATTTTTCATGGGCCCATGACATCTGTGTAGCAATTAAAGAAATAAATCAATCAGACAGCACATCTACCTCCTTAAATGTCTTCAAAGTGCTGCAGCTTAATCAGAGCAAAACCACAACCTGAAGTAGGGCCTTGTGTGCTTTTGTTCATCTGGGGTCTACAGCACCAAGCTGATACTTCCTCCTCACAGTCAGAAGTTGCTTTACTGTTATTGTACTAGTGTGAATTTGTATTTTAATAAACGCTCAAACCCACAGCTAATAAATTGTATCCTGTTACATCCCTGTGGACCAGCTCAGACACAGTAACTCTGCCTGGGAATTATTTCTGTCAAATTCAAGATAACAGCACTTTGTTTTGAACTACTTGTAAAGAAGCTAAATACTGGCAACCTGCTATTTCCATCAAGCAGAGAGCACTTAGATGGTTACTCCAACCCAGCTCATTTAGGGGAATCTTGAACTTGGTCACATAGCTGTGGAGGAGATGGGCACATAGACCAGTGGAACAGAGTCCTCAGTGCAAAAAATTTCTGCAGCATCATTTGCATTCTGGCTCACCTATCCTGAAAAGAAGACCGTGGAGTGGGGAAGGCAGTGCTGCTCCAGGGGCAATGCTTCCCTGCCTCATGGCATGGCCAGCTGGATTGCTAAACAACCCCAGCTGCAATATCCTCCAGCTCCCTGCTCAAGGGCAGACTGAAAACAGTGCCAGTGCCAGCTCAGTCAGCCTTGCAGTGGGAGGAGATGGGCAGTTGGCTGTGGTTCCAACAAATGTGATACTTATTCCTTTAATTATCTGGACTGTCATGCAACCCACCATGTTGCACCTGATTTCAAGAGCAAAACACAAACCACCATGTTGCACCTGATTTTGGGCAAATTTCAGACAGTGAGCGTACTTGAATGCACACAAATTTGTCCATGCAGTTCAAGGAAGAAAGATCCCAGAAATGGAAAGAGCCAGCTGCTGTCTGCAGCTACCTGATGGAAAGATACAGGGAAGATGAAATCAGACTTCTCTTGGAGATGGGTGGCACCAGGCCAACAGTCAATGGACGCTAGTGAAAACATAAGAAAATCCATTTAGATAGCAGAAAAAACATTTTTTACCTTGAAATTGAGCAAATGCCAACCAGGTATCCCTAGTTAAATGTAAAACAATTTAAATGCTAACCTCTGTTTTATTCAACAATGTATTGCATGGAAAGGCAAAATTTATTATTATTTAACTGTGTTTAAAGTAAAGACAGCGCACTCATTAGAGAACAGTGGCAATTCCAAGTAGACTTGTCACGACAGGAGTACTAACATGATTTACAAAGGACTCTGCAGTATCATCACCAGTAGTAATACTACTGAAATATTTCCATTTGAATAAGCATTTTTAAGGGAGGGAAAAAAGAAAAAAAAAAAGAAGAAAAAAGAAGGTTATTTTACTTACATTTCAAGATTCCAGAAATGCATTTTGGATAGAATCTTTCCCATCTAGTAGCTGTGAGGGCTTGAGTTTTCAAACTACTATGTGTATCTTAGTGTCCAGAATGAACACACAGAGGAAAAAACCAACCATTAATTTTCTTTGATGTGAAAAGGTATATTGGCATATACCAGTGCATATTATTGTGACAATTTTTGTGTATTTTTTAAACTGCTTTAGTTCTTTGCTTTGTAGTTATGAAACCACACTAGAAATAGCCTTATATATGCAGCTCCTGCTGTTTGAAACTGAATTAATTTAGTAAACTTTCTGTGAGTGTCATCTATTTTGCAGACTGAGACTGGGCAGAAACAATTTATTTCTGTAGCTGAGAGTTTATTTCTGTAGGAAAGATTGCAACATGGCAGGGAATCAGTCCTCCCTCTGTTGATGTGCACTCTGAATTAAAACAGAGTAGTACCAGCAGGTACAAACTGCTTGTGAAGGGACATGACGGGGCAAGAGCAGCATCTATACAGAAGGAAAACTGGCAACAGTGACTTTAATATGTATTCCTGATAACTGGGCACCTGCAGGTGATCAGCCTTGGCTTCTTGGCTTGGTTCAGCTCATCCATACCTCCCTTACTAGTTTTAATCCTTGCCAGTGTGTAGATCCAGGACTTCCTCTTTTTTTTTTCCTTTTTTTTTTTTCTTTTCTGTTTTAGATTGTGTTTGACTGTAGTTACAGGATTGTGTTTGACTGATCTCAGACTAGGACTGCACAAGAAATTTCCTGCCACAGCTGTACCATTGAGAATGTGAAACGGGTTAGTACAACAGATGAAGATATTACTGTATCTCCTAAATACCAACAAAATAGTCTGTCAAAAAAGAAAACAGTTTTTCCCACTAGGTGACAGAGGCATCGATGCAGCCAAAATCTGTACCTCTGCAAAACTTTATCCCCTCCACTTGCTCAGCTGACAAGTGATGGTAAATGGGATTTGACTTGTAGAATCATAGAATGGTTTGAATTGGAACAAACCTTAAGGATCCTGTATTTCAGTCCCCCTGCTAAGCCTTCCACTAGACCAGGTTAGACTTCAGATAAGGAGTGAGTTAACTCAGAACAGAATACCCTGAGTTAGAAGGGACCCCCAAGCATCATCGAGTCCAGCTTCTGGCCCTGCACAGCACCACCCCCAAGAGACACACTGAGTGTCCAAGAGCAGTGTCCAAATGCTTCTTGAGCTCTGGCAGGCTTGGTGCTGTGACCGCTGCCCTGGGGAGCCTGTTCCAGTGCCCAGCCACCCTCTGGATGAAGAACCCCTTTCTAATACCAAACTAAACCTCCGTGACACAACTTCAGGCCATTCCCTCAGGTCCTTCCTTCACCATCTTCGTTGCTCCTCCTTTGGACGCTCTCTAAAAACTTTATGTCCTGTACTGTGGCACCCAAAACTGTCCCCAGCACTCGAGGTGATGCCCCAGATTAGGGCAGAGCAGCACAATCCTCTCCCTTGCCCGGCTGGCCATGCTGTGCCTGATGCCCCCCGGGACAGGGTTGCTCTCCTGGCTGCCAGGGCACTGCTGGCTCGTCTTCAGCTTGCCACTGACCAGGACCCCCATGTCCCTTTCTGTGGCTCTGCCCTCCAGCCTCTCATCCCTCAAGGACGGCTGAAGCCAATTAGGCTGAACGCGCCTGACGCTGGATGCAGCAGAGACGAGGCTGGGGAGGTGTTTCCCAGGACGGGGAGCCCTGCAGGAAGGACGCGTCTCTTCCAGCCTTTCCCTCTCGCTGCTGGAGGAGCCGCGGCCCCACGAGGGGGCTCTGCCCGCCCGGGCACGGGCAGCGCCAGCCCTTCCAGCGAGCAGCTCCCAAATCCCGGGCTGGGGCTGCCGTGCCAGCACCTCCCACGTGCCAGGGTGTCTAAAGCAGTCTCGGTTTCAGAGTGTTAAACTGGTATCGTTGTAGGAATGAACAGGATAACCAGAATAGGAGTTCCCTCCAAGGGCACGACTGATAGCTACCACATGATCTAACTGCGCCTGGAATATGTACAAATAAATGGTAACAAGGAAATTATTTGTATGCCTTGTTCCTACTCAATTTCCCCCAACCTGAGACACTCGTAGCTGCAATAGTTTAAGAAAGTTTTTGTGACTCAATCAAGAGAAATCCCACCAGGAGAAAAATACCATCTTTCTGCACACAGTAAACACAGTAAAGGGGAAGGGGCATTTAAACAGCACATACTGGCCAAGATAGGACAGCTCAGTTTGACCTCTTTGTATCTTTTAATACAACCTTCATTAAAATTCTAAAAATAACTGTGTTATGGCAATCACAAAAGTATAAAGAAACTATATATTCCAGGTCAAGATGAGATTCGTCCCCAAAATGCATGAGAAAAATCAAATGATGAGATCATTTAAATGCCATTGTACATATCCCCTGCAACAACACCCTGGTCAGACAGGTAACAGCAGCTGTTCAAGGCACAGTGCTTGACTGCTCACTGCTGTTAGAGGATTATGAGCACAAAAAGAAATAAAGGTGTAAACAGCGAGAGCAACAGCAACATAGGGGGACGATGCACAGAAACAGCAGTGACAACTTCAGCTGTCAGCAGGGTTGCTCTCCTTCCCCTGGCACTGGGCTCACATCACCACCATGATGTCTTCCAGCGGCTTCCGTGTCAGCGCAGGCACGGTGGCATCTTTCCTGGGATAGCCAACGGGGAGCAGCAGCAGGAGCTTCTCGTTCGCTGGCCGCTGGAGCAGCACCCGCAGCTGGGGGCCGCAGTTCAGCGGGGTGGAGGTCACTGTGTACAGACCCGCGTTCTGCAGCAAGACACACGGCAACAGAGAGACAGAGGTCTGTGCTCTTTTTGTGGTAGTGGCTGTTCCCACCACACCTGTACACATCCTTCTGTCAGCTAGCCCAGAAATGCTGCTTTGTCAGACCTGCTGCAGCCTTTAGAACACCTGATTTACTAACAGCCTCAGGGGCACCATGAAAGATGCCTGCTCTGCTTTCACAGAAGTGGAGCATTTCTCCACCACAGCAGCAGCACAGTCTGCGTGCCATGTCTGTGTGCTGTGGAGCCAGAGCCTGCCTGCTGTGCCAGTGTGATGGGGAACACATGGCCACAGGGAAGCTGAGAGGCAGTAGTGGGGATACGATTGGAAAGTCATCCCATGGTGCTGGTGGTTGGACTAGATGGTCTTGAAACATCCATTCCAAACCAAACTATTCCCTGATTCTACAATCTGGCTCATACAGAGAACTATTTCGGTTCTTGCCTCCATACAGCTGGCAGGAAGCTGCCTTACAGCCTTGTGAACACACGAGCTCCTCCTCAAGAGCTGCACCTCGCAGGGAGAGGGGACACAGGCTCTGCCTCAGAAGTTGTCACAGGAGTCTGTTGGCATCTCTCACACTGGCCATTGTTATGGATTACATCAGAATCCCAAAATAAGTCTGTGTATCACTCTTCCTCTCATTCAAAACATCAAAAAAACCCTAAAAAATCTGGGCAAACAATAAAGAGCTGACATCATCCAAGGTGTGATCACACAGCTGAGTCACTTCCTGAGAGCTGCACTTGTGGATTTCAGTCTCTCTGTGTACCTAATGCAAGCATTTTGGGAGGCTTTGAGACACAAGTCAGCCACGGAGAGGTGCCCAGGAAATGCACCTGTCATGTTTAGTAATCTCTACGATCTTCTCAAGAGGAGAAGAGCTAACAGTGATGGTGCTGAATGGTGCCTGAGGAGCAGCAATGCATGAAAGAAAGTGTCATTCAAAACAGAATGGAGGAGAAATGGCAGTGCCTGGTAGGAAGTTGGCCTAATATAAGAGGAGGCACCTTGCTGTTATCTTGCTGACAGGCCAGGTTAACTATAAGAATTGCTTCTCTATTTAACACTTGTGTGAGTACATCAGGTACAAGAAGCAGAACTGAGCTCTGAGAAACCACTGAGAAAATCTTACTGGCTGGTGTCAAACATGCTGAGCTTTAGAGATCAGTGCACTTTCAGAAACGCCTCAGAAAGACTGATTGAAATAGTACAACGTGTTCTGTGGAATATGTCCCTCATTTTTTTTTCAGCATTGTATACTAAAAGTGGTTTGGTGTCAAGCTGTTTTGTAGGGATTACTGAAAAGAAGGGGCCAGTGTGGCACCACACAGTCGTGCTTGAGTAGTCTGAAGAGCCTGTCAGCCCTGTTAGCATAAGGCAGAAACCACAGGGGCTGAAGCCTGTGCCGAGAAAAGAGTGACAACTCTGGAAGCTACATTATATTTTTCTTCCTGTTAACCAGTACTGAGGATAGGAATCACCTTCTCAGATGCAGACCTGTGTAGAATAACATTAAAACTCAAAACTAGGACATATTGCTGGGAATTGGAGTAATCCAGGAGATTAAAAATGTTAAAATCTAAACTGAGTTCCACCCTCATTTGGGCAGAACAGTCCTGGTAGGTAATCCAAATTAATATATGGACTCACAGTATGTTGGTTCTGTCAACGTACCTGCAGTGCAGCAAGCAGGATACCACAGGCAATGGAAACACTGATTTCATTGTAGTAGTGGGTCTTCTTTTTGCCATTTGGAAGCCGCCCATACACCTGCTTGAAAATGAGGATCAGATACGGAGCAGTGTCCAAGTACTCTTTGATCCAATTCGTTCTGCAAAAGAATGTTTAAGACATTTATTTTGCAACCTTTACACTTTCCTGTAAGTTACATTTACTGTCTGCAAAGTGGCACTAAAGGTACATGACAATTAAAGCAGCAGGCTAAACCTTAGAACATTTACTGCAAAGGATTAAGTATTATCAACTTAAATAGAAACATTTCAGAAAGGGAAAAAAGCTGGAAGAGAGTTCTCAGTTTTAACAGATTTGGCAGAGGAGCTGATGTGCTCACTCTGAAGAGTGGAATTGCATACAAATAAGAGATAGCTCTTGACCTCTTATCTATGAACTGGCCTCATGAGCATTTGCCTTTGTGATTATTTAATTCCTGGAATTTTGCAGATTTGCCTGTTACCAGCAGTACCAACTTTTTTGTCATTGCAGGAAAGCCTGCTGTCAGAAAAGTTCAAAACTCTTTTGCCTAAGGTCTAAACCTAAATATATTCTTCCAATGGCAAAAATTGCTTTTCTGTTCCTGGGTATTTCATCCCTGTTACAATTCATTTGGTTCCCAATTTCTTAAATCACAATTGTGATATAGGATTTAGACAAAAAAATGAGTGCTTTCTACTGTTGTCACTCAAAACATAAGAACCTCTGACAGTTGTTTGCATAGCACATAAATTTGCATAGCACCTGAGCACCCGAAAAATAGCAATATAATCAAACAAGCAGGGCAAGTCAACCCTACAAAGCTTTGTGCACATGCTCCATTTGACAAGCCAGGCTCAGTAGACATCTTCCCATTGTGTGGAGTTAAGCAAGTCAGTCAGACTTGGGAGGGCATTTTGAACAATTAAACATTGCATAATTCAGCACTTGGATAGAGACAGGCCTTGGGGCTTCCTCAGTTGGTAGCAAAGCTTCCAGTGACTTTGGGAGCTTGACTGTTTGGCAAACAACAGAAAAAGTCTGGGACAAGAGTTTCAGCCGCAGAGGTTACGTAGGAAAAAATAATGATGGAGCCAAGTGCTTGGAAAACTTTCAAAATAGAGAGCATGTAATCCCTTTTACTGGAAGCAATTTTATGAACCAGCCACCAAGGCACAGTTCTACATATATTTAGAAGTTTTTGTTTCCAAACAGAGATTTTAGAAAAACATTAAAAGTGAGAGGGAGGAAGAAATAGAAAATTATAGAAGTCTTTCCTACATTGAAACAACAGCTATCTTCACACCCCTTAGGTAATTGACTTTTCATACCTCAATCTTTTCAGGTCATTTACCCATCTGTCTCCCATCCTTTTTTTGTAGTTGATTTCCTCTTCTTCTTCTACAATTTCACGAATCTTATGTTTTAAATATGGATCTTGCACTACCACAAAGGTCCAGGGCTCAGTGTGTGCTCCACTAGGTGAAGTACCTTCATACAAAACCAAGGAAAAATAAAAACCCAGGAAGGAGGGTGGGCAGTGAGAGGTATCAGCTCTTTCTTGTGAGCTTTTAGGCTGACCAAGCGAGCAATAGGAAAGCAAATGGATGAGATGGGAAGAAAAGTACTAAGTTCTGGCATTAATTCTGTTAATTTCTTTCTCAAAGAATGTGAAATCCCATTGAAGAACAGAGGTTAGTCCTTTCATACTGCCATCTTACAGGAAGCCAGTGTTAAGGATTTGTAAAAAATTCCTTTTTTGGTGGTTCTTATGATGAGGCAGTAATATGGTGCAATATATCCGAATGCAGTAATGTTATTACAAAGTGCTGTACCAAAAGCAGAGCTCTGTCCAAATACACAGCCAACTCTGACACGTGGTTTTAGCTAAAGGAAGAAAACAATGGCTTTCAGGAAAACAAGGCTGAGTGATCCCCGGCAGGAACCTGTTGCTGACTGACAAAGATAAGGAGCTGTGCAGCACACACATCTGCCATAGAGCATACAGGTTTGAGTTTGTTGTCCCAAAGACAGCTGGTGTTCATAGGTGTGGACATATATATGATATATATTATATATATATATATATTTAATAGATATTATCTATATTAATTCTGTACTTGTTCACCCACCAACATCACTGGAGAAATATTTTAACTGCCTAGAGGTTAAAAGCCAAAAGCTGAAGAATATATATCTGCACAGGTTCACAGATATATAGATTAAGAAGACTGTTTAGATCTCTCTGGTCCCTCATACACATTTAAAAATATTTGAAGAACTTGAATGTACACAATACTAAGGACTGGTTTTAGTTCAAGAAACACTAAATAAGCAGCTTGAACTCATCTAGATATATGAAAATGTTTTTTATTGTGAACCTTGTCTCACCTCAGATTTGCGTAAAAACTGATGGCATTCATGCTTCCTTTTGTTTTCTTTTTCTCTACACAGCCCAAAGCTTTCAGGGTTACTAAGTACTTCATCTGCACGCCAGGCTTGTTTGCTTTGCTGCATTTGCCAAAACATGCTCAGTGTTTTAATGATGCCTAGTTAATTAGAGGGAGATGGAGAGTCTTTACAGTGCAGTAACAAAGCTGCTTACAGTTCTTAAAGGGAAAATAATGCACCTCAAATGTGGAGATTCTTTAGATTATTAACCCTGCTAAAGGCTACTGAACTTTTCTCTAAGGCAGCTTGGGAATATTCTCTATAGTAGCAGCAGCTGGCTCACAGAATAAGAGAAATCACGACAATCAAAACCACTCCTGGCTGAAGTCGATGTTAGTTACGCAGAGATGAGATTTGGCCAGGACATGACAGTAATGATTTGAAATACATAAAATCTCAACAACAACAACAACAAAGGGAATCCATTTCTGATATTCAGTCAAATAACTCTATTAGAGTCCTCAGCATAACACTCCAATCGTATGCAACAGGGGTCTAGCACTAATGTTGGAAGGACTGGAAAAGGTTTTTTAGACTGAAATTCTTTCCCTTTATTAAGCACCAACCATTTATGCCAACGTATATTCAATATGAACGGAATATTTTGCATGGCTGAGACAATTTAATCTATTTGTTTGTAGAGGGACCCCAAAACGCAAAACCCACACATGATAAATATCATTATAATGCATTAAATTTTAGAGCATGTGAAGTACATATGGCTTGACATTTTTGAGAAAACACCTCAATATTTCTATTTGAAAGATATCTTGGTAAACCATGCATAAATTTAATTTTAAATAACATCTTTTATAAGTTGAAAATTAAGTTTTTTGTTTCATGCTGTTGAAATGCCCTTCTTCCCTTATGAGTGAACTGCAATTACAGAGAAGTTGGGAGACTCCAAATGAGTCTCTGACATACAGTTGTTCAAGCTGAGTACTTTCCAATCAATCAATGGGTGCTAATTCATTCCAGCTACAGGTGAATCTAGGAAAACCACAAGCAAAATTCCAGTTCCCTTGGCTTTTCCACACCACCTTTTACACCACAGTTACAGAGTTGAACAGCGGTGCTGGTCCTTTATTTTTCCCCCAGCCCTTGAACCACTCAGTACCTACCTGCTGTTCTGATGACATTATCAATGACCTCCCTGGGGACTGGCTCATCACTGAGAAACCTGACAGATCGTCTCTTATTTAGAAGCTCATAGAATGTCTGTGACCTCTTGATCATTTCAGCCTCAGAGTAGCGCTCGCCAGCGAAGGGGACATGGGCAACATTTTCTTCAAGTCCTTGCCACTCTTCCTCACCCTCTGCAAGAAAATACAGGTGGTTAGAGGTTTTTTTTGCTGGAGAATGCTGTTGATATCCTTGGCATTCACACTGTAAGGCACCTTGTCCTGCACTGGCATACACTCTGGTAAGGCAAAGTCTGAGGTTCCAGTTGACACAACCCATGGATCCCCAGCTCCAGCTACTGAATAAACACCTTGTTTGAATACCAAGAGGCAGGAGGGTCCTGACCTGCTCTAGCAAGTGTGATCCACAACGAAGTCATTGCCTTCTCCGCTTCAGCCTGAAAGCCTGCCTGCAAAAATGGGTTACAAGCTGAAACAGCTCTGAAAAAGTGGACAGGCTTCCAGCCCAATTTTCTCAGCAAGTAAATGTGAACATGTGTGTTCCTTCTTGAGCTGTTTAATAAGGAAAAAAAATCAATTAAATTATTGAAGTTAAGGAGAGAGCTTAACTACCAATATGTGTAAAATCTCCTCTGAAGAGCTGAATGTCAACTTCTTCCATATTCATGTTTCATAGCAGAAACATTGCAAGCTTTGGCTCCGCAGAAATGTGACTTTGTGGTTAAGCTCTTTGGTTTCCCGATACTTTCAGCATAAGAGGAAATGGATGTCAGGCATCTATATTTAGGATAACAACATATCAAATGTAGGATATTGTGTTTCTTGGCTTTAATTTAAAAACTCAAAATGATTCTCCATTTCAATGAAATCTGTTTATATCACAAAATGAATATTCTGTTGTCTCTGAGGCCTCTTTCTCCCCCATATTCCTAGAATCAGCATGGACAGCATTTTTTGCAGCTAAGATGTGGAAGTTAAAGCTATTTAAATGCTACATTTTGACTAGTCAATAGTACTGGGCAATCTGCTACAGAGAGCTGAGTCAGGAAAAAAATTCCAGTTCTTTTTCTGCTGCTATTAGGCTATTATTCCCAAATCATAGCAATCTCCAGCACAAATTCAAACAGCAATTACTTCTGTGTTTTAGTAGTATGCAGTTGCCTTAGAGACCAGGCTGGTCTTTTGTTCATTTTAAAAGCAGTGAAATATTCACGTGTGGCTCAGCCTGCACAAAGGGGCAAAATAAATCCAGTTTCATAAATTCAATCTAAACTGAATGGTTCTGGTCCCCAAACCACCATCATTTCATTTTGTGTACAAAGAATTCACCCTGAGAATTTGTTTTGTTTAACATTTCATGCCTATGTTAAGCGCTCTTGGTCATAGTCTGCAAGGACCTGGCTCTGGGTTAAAGGAAAGCAGTGAGCCCTGGTAAAAATTATTTTAGTGATCATCTTGTGCATGCTCAAAAAGTAAAAGGGTGCCTCTTGGTAATGTTCCCTGTGTGATTTACACTTGGTAAAATAGTGAGTGCTTGCTTGTTTAGTGCTGTGGGGGGGTTTTCCTGTGTAAGTAGAAGAAAAGTGAAGCTGCTGTTTGGTCAAGAAATCTCAACTTAATAATAAGGTGAAAAAAGAAATGTACTTTCAGAGATTTTGAACATGGGACAAAGGTTACAGGGCCAATGAGAATGGAAAACCTCAATACACTCAACGTGGGAATACTGGCTGAAGCAGAAAAACCTGGAAGTGCAGGAACTGACACACAAAACCAAAACTCTCCTGGCAAATTTATTTTCTTAAAATAAATTAATCTATTATATATTCTTTTCCATCATGTGTCTACCATTCTTTCTTAGCAGTTAACATGATCCATATGCTAACTTTAAATCATTATCAGCACCATCTGTTTGGTGCATGCACTCTATATCTCTAATTGCTGTGTTTAGACACACTCCTGTTTGTACAGTCACGTTACACAATAACACAAGTGTCTTGTTTATACCTCTTTGTATTCCACCACTTGATGGACAACAGACATCCTGCTAGTAAGGCTTTTACCTTGTTAGCCACATTCTCAAGATTGCCATCAATTCCATCAATTGCCATTTACAGTAGTCATCAAGCTTCCTGCTTTTTAAGTAAATCTGGAATGGTTTTGGCTCACACATCCCAAATGGAATCTCATTTTAAAAGTACATTTTTCTATCTCTATCAGAAATTCCTCTGTGGATACATTTTTGGATGATAACTATGTTCTTCCCAGCAGTCCATATGGGAGGTTATAATCAGCCTGCAAATCAAGTAATAAATTCTACCTCAGTTTGAAGCAGGAGTTCTTAATTAAAAACTCATACTGAGAACAGTAAGTTGTCATTTCACTTCTGTTGGCCACTTATTTTACCTACACTGACACTTTTCTGTGTTGCTGGCTTCCAGTTGTATGTCATTAAGACATTTCACTTTTACTCTCCATGCTTTTATGCCAAGACCACTAGATAATATTAACAATTGATCCTGAGACTGATCCTTGAGAAACCCCAGTCAAGACTACTGCATTTGCTTTCCAAACAAGTTTCTTCTCTAGAGAATTGCTTCCTGAGCATACAATTCCTCTCTAACTCTCTTTTCCAGTGTAAAGACATGATGCATAGGAAAAAAATTCAATGTATGTAAAGAAAGTTTTCACATCTTTAGTCTTAAATGCTGGGTAACTGACCCTGTGGGTTCTTTATCTGATTAATGGCAGACTGCTGCAAAATGGGCCACTACAGGAATCCCAGTAGTGAATCCAGCCCTGAACTGAGTGTGACTAATAGGGAACTAAAAGAGATGGATTACCCTACTAGTGGGTTATAAATAGTGCTTAGCAGGCTGATCCTGGAAACCTCAAGGGTGGGTCAGGGATCTTAAGCAAAAGTAGTACCAAGTTGAAGAGGCACAGACCCTGGAAAAAATAACCCAGCATCAAAATATTGTGAAAATTACCTCAACTGGAATATAGTTGCTGAAGGTTTCTTACAATCTTAGGGTAAATAGAGTGGCTATTATATAAAGAGAAAAGCTAGTATAAGAAAAGCTGAGAGGTAAAATGGTTGCAATCCATAAACCACAGGAGAGTATGTGCCAGGGCTAGAAGAGAATCCTTTGAAATCAAGAGGATGGAACAGATTAAATAGATATACAGTAGTATTAGCAGTAGGCAGAAAGGTAGAGGAGGGTTTTTAACCCTATCCTAAGAAATTCTGCACCAGCCTTTTAGCAAGGTTAAATAAAAGGGGTCACAAAGTCCAGTTTTCATGTTCATTCAGCTGATGACAAGGGCTGGATGTATTTGCAGCAGCAGGAAGATACACACAGTAATGCATTGTGTCCATCTAAGTCCTGTGTTCCTAAATGATACAAAATATGAACTGTCACTGAAAAGGAGGTTTAAATTGCTACTGCCTCATCCATGTCAGTAGTAGTATTATTAAGATGGGTTATTATTAAATGGGAAGTTTTTGAAACTGGGGAGAGGAGAATGCTTTTAAGTGGGACAGGTCTATTTCAAGGAGTATCACAAGCAAGAAGCAGAGCATTTTCAGGAGGAATGGAACATTTGGGACTTTGTGTTGTTTTGTAGTCCTTAAGTAGAGTGTATCATCAGTGTCCTTGCCAATCCACAGCATAACAATCTCTCATTCTGGATCTTAATATAAATGAAGGAAAAAGTTAATAATATAAATGAAGAAAAAGGTTATGGGATAGATGGGTGTGCAAAGAAATCTGAAGTAATGCCAGTTAAAGCATTAAACAAATGGACTGAGTGCTTTGCACTTAACAAAAGAACTGGGTTCCTGGCTGCCATGAGAAACATCCATCTCCTCAGCTGTGGAAAACACAACACAGACAAGCTCAGGAGCACTTAGCCCTCACCATTCCACACTTCGCTGCCAATAAGTGACCCTACTGAGTCTGCCCAAGCAGTTCAGCTCCTTGCACCGAATGCTCTGCTGCTCAAAGGCATGTCTTTCTCATGGGAAACATCCCTGAGGGCTCCACTGCAGGGAAGGCTCGTGGGGCCACAAGTGAGGTCAATGCTTTTCTGTTTTTCTGGCTGAGTGCTTCACTCTCTCAGCAAATAGACCTTGCTTTGGTCAGGGACATGAATCAAAAGACTTGGTCTTCAGCTGCACCTTCCTGTTCAGGGGGCTGCTGAAAATTCAGCTTGTTCACATGGGGCAACCTTAGATTCTCGCTTTAGAACAGGCCTTAAGAATGTCACCTTCATGTTACCTAACTCAAATTCTCTTCAGAGGAACTGAAGAGAATCTTTAAACACAAGCCAGCCAGAGACGCTTAAGTAGAACTGAGCTTGTCTGATAAAGTAAGATACATTAATAAAATAACAGAATTTACACAGCAGGTATTCTTTAGTATTTTAAAAAAATCTCTTTACATCCATGTTTCCATTTCAGCACCTAGTGCAGTCAGTGAAAATTTTAACACTGACAACAAGGTTAACATGTTTTGATCCTTAATTAAGGCTCTAGCAAAGCAGCAGATCCTTACTAACTCTTTTTCTTCTCCTTGCTACTCTTCTCATTTAGGCTGGGCTGAAGAAAAATTTACCTTTTAATATTTCTAGAGATAAAAGACACAACTATTTTACAAAGAAATTGCTTTGAATCACACACCACTAAGGGAAAGGTCATTATTTGTTACTAAAAGAAAAAGAGCAAGAAAATTTAATATTGGGTGACATGGTATATTGAGAAAGGTTTTATTTAAAAGTAAATAAAACTTAGTAGGTAAATAAAACTTAGCAACAGTACCAACATGTTTATCTGTCAAAAAATTTTTGCAAGCAATTTTTTTCTGCAACAAAAACTAGTACAATTTTGAATTTAGAGCGTGAATAACAGGGGAAACAACTAACACATAAAAGACCAAAATTTTGTATATGGAGCTACAGCAGTGAGGCTCCTTGATAAGAGCTAATAGGCTTGTTTATGCAAAGGATCTAAATTTTTTAACTGATAGAAACAGCTATAGTCAAAGATGATAATTCATAGATTATCATTTTAACTACCCACAGGAATTCTAATTTGCAGCAATTTAACTGAAGTAGTAAGTCATTAATGACAAAGAGATTATGGAAAAATTTTTTACAGAATCTATTTTGCATTGAACAATCAGGTGAAGTGATTTGTAAAGAAATTTTATATATTTGGAATATAGTCAACAGGGTTTAAACCTTTCTTGGTATCAGCTCTTTTCAGAAACTGATAAACAACACTAACTCAAAGTACGCTGAACACTGAGAAAAGAGCTAAATTAGTTCTTAGAAATAGGTCTATATGCAGAAGGACACTGTAACTTTTAAGATTCCTAGAAGCAGACTGGGGGAAGTGCTATTATGGGGGAAAAAATAACCCAGACAGACCCCTCAACAAGTCTTTGAAAACAGTTTGAGGGACAAAAAAGAATAAAAAAAAAAAAGAGCTGCATTAACTACTACTTTAAAAAACTGATAGGAAAAGAACTCTGTAGATTTTTATTTTACAAAGAAATAAAGTGAGTTTATGGAGGATAGTTAGGAAGTAAGAAGAAGGAAGGGTACATTTTTAGCTTAGACTTTTGTCCAAGCTGTGAATCAGAAAAAGCTAATGAAAATAAAGGACATTCTGTATGGGTTCAAATAGGCAGCTGAGTGACCAGATTATCACCACCACCACATTTTGTTCTTGATCAACACAGCTCCCAAAAAAGCTGTCATTGACATTCTCAGAAGCCACAGATGGAGGACCTTTGTAAAAACAGTGATAAACCCATTTCCAACTTTTTAGCTGTGCTGAGACCAAACATGTACCACTGAGTGATAAAGTGGGATTACTTGCAGGTAGAAACATCTGCTCAGGCCTTCCCTTGCTCACACTAATAAGACCTGGGAAGAGTCTGTGGGGAATTCAGCAGGATCTCCTCTCTTTCCTCACACTGTCCCTAGAGTCCCTCATAGGTCTGAGATGTGCTGTACAGAGGAACAGACAGGAGTCTCTAAGAATATATTTTATATATATATATTTTTTGCACTCTGATTTTTGGGAATAGAAATTTACACCAAGAGTGACATGACATGAGGTCTGCCTCCCTGGCTGGGAGCTGACAAGCTCAGGGCACAGCAGCAGTGTTGCACTGAGCATTGCTGCCACTGTGGAGAAGTCCTGAAGTCTGCACCTCCTTTATTCATATCAGCAGATAAAATTCAAACAACAAAAGTGTTTGGGATAAGATTTTTCTTACCTTCTTCTTCTAAGGGATGGTCAGTGCCATCTTTTAAATCTTCATCCACCCACGGGCGAGATGGATGCTTGCTTTTAGTGTCATGTTTTTCCTTCTCTCCACTTGTCTTCTTCATTATTACCCCAATCAAAACACATATAATGGCTATAAATACTGGTGTGAGGGAAGAAAAGAGAGCCATAACTATGGAAATGTGGAGCCTTTCTTCCACGTTCAATAGTTTCTCATGAAAAGGAGAGGCTGAAAGGGGAAGAGCAGCAAAGCAGTAAGCAAAAAGGGGTGGACTCAAGGTTCAGTCCTCTACCCTATCTTGCTTCTACTTTTCAGACACCGCCCCCACAATCTCATCTGTGATGGGCTCCTGCTGTTAATAAATAACCCCTGCAGTTAAAAAACCTCCAGACCCAGGTTTATATATTTTCTGAGGGGAAACATCTTACAAACAGCAAGCAGAGGCACTGCCCATACATAAATGCTGTCCAGTGCAAAATAAATTTAAAAGCTCCAAGGTAGTTTCAAACTCCAGACTCCTATTTTTATTGTTATGGCCATCCCAGTAATCATCCTTGTAACAGTGATTATGAGAAGAGCCAAGTGGGAATATGACTTTTAAAAACTAATGATCCCTCTTCAATGTTTAACTCATAAAATTAACATTTTACATGTGTCCTAGGAATTCAGAATATCACCAATCACAAATCAGTTTGCAGCACCACCCTCAGCTATGTCAATGGGTCGATAGAACAGATAAATAAAGGGGCAGCATTGCCTCTCTATAAAGTGTGAGTGAGACAATTCACAGAGCTGTGTATTCATCCTGGCTGTTCTGGGGGAACTGACAGGAAGAATTCAAGGAATCAAAGTAAAAAAGATGTGAGGGCTGCAGTGAATTTAAAAGGCATGCTTCAGCATCCTATCAAAGATTAAAAACCAATAGGATCCTGGTATAATCCAATAATGGTCAATGTCTAAATGCTTAACCCATTTTTACCTCAGCCAGCTGCTTGGGAACTGCATTAACACAGCAACGCTGATTTGCTGTCTTTGTCTGGGGCTGTTGGGACATACTGGATAATGAAATGTCAGATGGCAGTGGGTGCTGAGGGCTGTGCTGGAGAGCAGGGTGTAGGAGTGCTCTCTATATGCAGTCCCCAGTGTCCATCAGCTCTCCTTAGAACCTGCCAAGCACCATCTTTGCCAAGCCTTATCCCATGGCATACAGGGCCATTCTGATGTCCTGGAATTTATGGCAAGATAATCCACATTTTGATTAAGCCCTCCCAAGATAAATGGGAGCAGTTGCGAGTGTAGCCATACCAGGAGATGGAGAGTCCCAGCTGGCACCTGCAGGGGGTCATTGCAGCCCCCTTTCCTCAACATGGAAACCCGGACACAAAGGGGAGAGAGAATTTGGGGCATGCACAGGTTCCCTCCTGACAGGTTCTCAGTCCATGCCCTGCCACTCATGCCTCTCACCCCGCCAGTTCTGCAGCACTGGGCACACCCTCACTGCTCCCATTTGGCACTGTACCCCCAAGGGCTCCCTACCTTACACTGCCCCAGCAGATACTGCCAGCTGCCTTGAGCACTGGTCTGTGCGTTGGGAAGCACAGATTAGTGGCCAGGTTGCTGCTCAAGAAGAGGAATGTGTGACCACACTGGCTGGCCACACACAATGATTGTCTGGCTGACAGTGCAGACCTGTATCCTCTGTTAATACAAGCTCCTTGTGTTAAAAGGGCAAGGTCAAGTGAATTGCACAGCTGTGCACATATTATATTGTCCAAACGTGCTTAGAGGCAAAATGAAACTGCCTCAAGGCTTGTACCCAGGCTGAGCTTTCTCAGCTGCCCAGCTCAGATACAGAATAAATACTTTACTGCAGTTCCACTGCATCCTACTCCAACACACAAGCCCCCAGTTCCTGTACATACCAGTCCTTATGGGCAGTATTTGGGATCTGTGTAAGAAGGGTGGCCCCAGTACCAGCCAAGGGATTGCACAAATCCATCAGAGATGTAATAAAGAGGACATGAGAAAGTTGTGGTTTGTTTCCTAATTTAATCTAATACAGTAAAGTTGGCAATAAACCTCCATTTACCTCTGCTAAGAGGACAATTTTCTTGAAAATTCAAGCCATGAATTTTGTCTTTCCTACTCTCCATTCAATTTGTGACTTGGTTCATGTTCTTGGGTCACTGATTTGGGCTGCATGTATAAAAAGTCCCCAAATCAGTACACTTTATAGGAATAGAAACAATTATCATGTGGGGAAAAAAGAAAATATGTAAATTTATCCTCTCTCTCCATGATTGAGAGTAGATATTTAAACTCATTTGTCCCACCTGCTGGCTGTCCAGTCATGGGGAGAGGTACTTTACCTAATCCCAATTAGAAACATGAAATTAATTCATGAGAATAGAGAACGAACCTGCAATTTCGTCGGACACATTTTCAACAGCCTACTCTGTGGCAAGGGAGGAAAACAGAATGTGGTCTGAATGGCACTGACTGTTTCTCCCACAGGGAATGTATTAACCTTGATTATTCACATACACGTAAATTAGGATCTGGATGCTCTGCAGCTGAGAATCCATCCTATGAAGAGACAGGTCTGTGCTGAGAGAGAGAGAGAAGCAATACAGAAGGGTGAATTATGTTGTTTAAAATAACTACCTCTATTTGCAATGCTGGAAACTTTGTAATAGCTCACTGCTCCAGAATAACTTTGACTTCCTTTCAGGTGATATTAATTTTTCTTTTGTAGAACAGAGAAAGAAAGAAAGTTAAATAAAAGTCACTTTGGTAGTAACTTAAGCAAAATCTATGTGGTGTTACATATTGAAAATTGTTGGGTTGCATTTCAACCCCAGCCTACCTTGTTTTAATTAAAACCTGAAATAGTTTAAATAAGTTTATATTGTGAGCACTTAAAACAGAAACATGGTGGTGTCTTGAGGAACTGGGGGAAGGGGTGGGTGGAAGCAGTTAATTTTGTACAGTAACTTTCTATCAGTTTTTCTGTTAAATTTTTTCAATCCAAGCTCTATAGAAATGTGATTAATGTTATGGCAAATTCAAGAAAACTTATTACAATAATTTCTTCTGCTCTACAGTAAACCCTAAAAACTAGCAGCTGAATTTTTGGGGGTTTTTTGAGTCTCAAAAAAGTCAGGAGAAATGTTACAAATAATCCTACTCTTAGAAATTAATGGAGTTTTTCTGACAAACATGGAAAGACGATAGAAAATGTTGATAGAAATACAACAATTGCGAACAGCAAAGTACTCCACTATTACTGCATGAAAAACATGTAAGCACTCCTAAAAGGTACAGACCATCATACTAAAAGCTTCTGGTCCCAAAATACTTTAATATTTCCCATTAAATTCTGTGGATAGCTGTTGTTCTGAAGGAAAAAGAAAAAAGGTACTCTAGTGTCAAATACAGCCCTTTATTTTTTTTCCTCAAAGAGAAAAATTGTGATGAGCAAATGCCAGTAGTGGATGGACCCATGGTGGGACAGTCACACAAGGATCACCCATGGGCATGAGACTGTCACATGGTGGGCATGGGCACCATTGTAGGCTGCAAGGACACCTGAAGTCAACAAATGGCACCTGCCCATCACACAGTTTTACTTTGAGAAGTCTCTTTACTGGAGAACTCTTAGGGCTCCTTATTCGGAGCTACAGAAAATTAGTAAGATCCAGACATTCAAAAAGGGATCCAACACATCTATTCAGAATTGTTTAACTGTCAAAGGTAAAGTATGGTAGCTAAAACACCTAATTTAGAAAGTCTCTGAGGCTTAGGAAGGCATATGGAAGGAGGGACCATTTCATGAGTCCTTAGCCTTCTTGTTTTTCCCAATCATCTACCTTTGGCAGTATACACACAGGCTATGGTGCGTGATATCCTCACACAGCTAGGATTTGGTATGAGTCGTGGTGTAGGAATGGAATTACATAATTTAGTGCTCCCACTAAAATGAAAGCCACGACCAACTCCCCTCCTAACTCCCCTCCTAGTCCTGCCTCCAGTGAGACAGACAAGGACAGGTATCCTTAGTTGAGATATGAAAAATTTACTGGAAACAGCAATGAGATAGAAAACCATGTTTCCTCCTTGCCTGCTGGTGGGAACACAGCTGGGTATTTTGCTGGGTTTTGACCACGTCCATGAGAATGTGACAACATTCATCCTGCATTCATCATTTTACTCTGAAAACCTGAATTTGCTGAGCAGGTCCTTTAACCTTACTTTGTTTTATGGCAGAACTGGCCTTCAGGAGGATCAGGGTTATCTTCTCCCCTTTCTCAAAACCTTCCCCTGCCATGTTGCTCCATACAATTATGTCATCAAAGAACTGCAGGTGTTCTGGACCCTCACAGATTTCCATTGCAGTCTGGATCAGTTCATGGCAGATGGTGGGACTGTGCTTCCACCCCTTGGGAGTCAATTCCAGGTGTACTGCACGCCCCTCCAGGTCAAAGCAAACTGCAGCCTGCATTCTGCCGCCAGAGGACTGGAGAAAAACACATTGGCAACGTCAACAAGCCACATCATCCTCCTTGGAAGTGAGAATCCCTTATTTCTGCCTCCCCCTGATGAAGTGCATGGCATAGAGTAACAACCCACACAGCTCCAGGCTCTGCCACCTCGTGGCTACAGCTAAAAATCAACCTGTCTTTGGCTGAAACTAGGACAGAATCTTACTGTAGCAAAAAGCAGATATGTGTTAAAGAGAACAGTAGTAGAAATAGAAGAATGCTCACAGTGAACATACAGAAGCGCAGAGTAAGATGAAGGAGGTACTTGCAATAAATACAGCATGAGTCTGTGAGAGAAAGCATGGTTTTGGGGGTGCTGGCTGTAATTCCCATTGCAAGTGTCCTTTGCTGAACATCATCAGTTACATACCTGCAAAGAACACAAAGCCCCTGCTTGGACCCTCAAGTAATATACCAGTATGTGGTGATGAAGGGGTCTACAAAATTATCTGTGTTTATAGCTAGAAGCAAGAAAAATTCACCACTGGGTATTGTCTAGAGATGCAATAAAATACTGCATTTGCTTCAAAAGTGAGTTTCACACTGAAGCTTGTGTTTTCCAAAAAACAAATTCCAAAGGCTATTTCAATCCTTGGTCAGCTCCCAAGTCAGTATATGCCTGCTGTGGGCAAGACAGAGCCATGCATGAGCTACTTAATCCAATTTCCCAATCAACACATTGAGACAAATGTCTGGGATCAGCTGAAACTTATCTATTAGGTATTGGCATTACTAAAAATATCATTAGCTTAATAAGCATCTCCATCTCTGAGACATGTCTAGCAATCCCCTCCTGCCTCTGCCAGTGACCAGCACACAGTGCTTCTGGGCAAGGTGGCCCTCACTTTTCTGCTGCCTCCTGCCTCTTCTTGCACTCACACATACAACTGCCCCTTGCCCCGAGACAGCTTTATGATCTCTTTATGACCCCTGGAGATATCACATATCTTGCCCTGGAGCATTAGATTTGATTATCTTTTTCATTAACTTAGCTCAGATTGCCACAAATGTTATTAGTGCTTATGAACTACCCTTTTGAAATCTAGCAGTACAGTGGGTAATAGAATTACATCCCATAGCAACAAAAGCACAAGACAACAGAGCACCATGCAACAGAGCAATTCTTTCCATTTGTCCTCAGTATAGCGCCCTTCACTTGCAAACTCCCTGTGTTTATGTACCACAGGCAGAAGAAATAACCTAACTAGAGACATGATTCACTAGAATCTTTCTAAATAGAATAATCCATTTATTGGGATCTGTCTTATCAAATACACCATTAGTTGTTCTCAACAGGACAAACAAGTGCTCCTAAAAATATTTCTGATTACAGAAAGTAAATTTAACCCAGAGAATAATTTGCCCCCAGATTCATAGCAGAACAAGAAATTTGCTGTTGCTGTACCAATGTTACCACCATGAAGCTGTAGGAATGAGTTTCCACATGGCAGGAATCTGGTGGACATTAGTAGTGCTACTCACTGAAGTAAAGCTGCATGGCTGAGTTTTCAGAAACTCACTAAAACTCCAAACAAAAATCCCAATAACATCACTGAACTTATATGGAAACCACCAAGGGTCTGCAGATAACTCAGACCTTGGAAGATATATGCCCCAAATTGGGGGCAAAATAAAGACAAAATATTGTTTTCCCACAATCACTTTTAGGCACAGACTCATAATAGGCTGTGTTCAAATCTGTTTTATTCTGTGAGTTACCTTTGATACCAGCTGAGGGGGGAAAGTAAAGTCCATTTCTGAGTAGCCCCATGGGAGCACAAAGCCTAACAGAGGCTGTTAAAACCTCTTCAGAATAGGGGTGTTTAGGGAACAGGAAGGAGGGGTAGCAGTGGTCTCCTCCCAATGGCCAGCAGGCTGAGAATAGCCTCTTTCAGATCAAATATCACAGGAAACATTGGATCAAATATCACAGGAAACATTCTCTGCATATTGGGCCAAAGAGGGGAAGGCAGGGGCAGAGTGCAGAGACAGAAATCCAAAAGGCAGATTTTGTATGGCCACACTGCCCAGGGTGTGGGGCTGAAGCACATGTATATGCAGATCAAAACCAGCTCCATCATCAGAGCCAGCACAGTTACCACCATGCCAAAGGCTCACCCAACACCTGGGCAAAGACTCTGACAGCTCCTCGTGCTGGCACCCTGCAGCTCCCCAGCCTTCATCCCCAGGGTCACAGAGCCCACACCTGCCCTGCCTGGGCCTCTGGCTGCAGCACAGGCATCATCCCAGATCTCTCTTCCTTGTCAGGAGAATAAGTGTTTATAGCAAACTCATAGTCCTGCCCCACATGATCAGGCTTTTCAGATCATGATGTCGAGTGAGGTAACCGCAGTAGAGAAATGATAGCTGGATGCCTTTTGTAAGAAACATTGCTATTGTCTTTTTGATGCTAAGAAGAAATACAGAGAGGAAAAAAAATATAATAAAAATATCAAGTAAAAGGTAAAAGAGGACAAAAATGATCTTTCCTATTTTTTTAGAGCTGGATTTTTATTTCCAATTGCTAATATATCCTTCTTTTTGTATGTTCACAGAGAGGAAAATTGTCTTTTGTTCCATACTGCTA